ACACTAACAGAGTTAGGCGTAGATACAAACTGATCTCGACAGGCTACGAAACGGTTCTGAAGATATCTCAATATCTGCAATAGATGATACTAGTAGTAATACTTACCTGTTTGTTAGGATTAGTACACCATTCAACACTCCTTACTACACCTTTTACCATTTCCTCAGCCAAACAATTACCACTTAATACATCGAATACTCGTATACATTGATCACCTGATCCTGTTACCAATCTAGTAGAATCATATGTACAAGAGAATGAGAATACAGCACCCTTATGTGGTTCATAAGTACCCAATCTTTCACCAGTATAGGAATCCCATACACACATACCATTATCCTTACCACTAGTAAATAGTAGATCACCATCACCATTAAACCCGACTTGAGTCACAGGTCTACGATGTGCATATATAACTAATGGATGCATATATAAGGAGAAGGACAAGGGGAACAACAACAAGAAGCAACAACTGCCCCTTGGCGTAGCTAAAAGAGCGCGCCCATGTAATCGATTTATATATAGATTAGTTGTGGTTGGGGCGTGTGTTGATGATGTCTTCTTCTTCTTCTATGGTGTATGATGATAACGAGCAACAGCAGCATTGTAAGAATGATGGTAGCTGCTCGTCATCGTATGTTGTTGGTCATCATGCAATGAATTCTATATTATATGCTAATAAGAAAGCTGATGAATATAGAAGGCATCTAGGTCTAACACAAGATACTCGTGCTACTGTTGATAATGTATTAGATCCACGTACTATTAATATACTTAATAAGATGCGTAATAGAGGTGTATTTACTGATGTATCTGGTACTATATCTACTGGTAAAGAAGCTAATGTATATTATGCTACTACTACTACTACTGATGATACCTATAGTGATGAACTTACTAATGGTGGTGGATTGGCACTTAAAGTCTATAAGACTAGTATATTGGTATTCAAGGATAGATCTAAATATGTTGAAGGTGAATATAGATTTAGGAAGGGTTATTGTAAAAGTAATCCACGTAAAATGGTTACTATGTGGGCTGAAAAAGAGATGAGAAATCTTAAACGACTTAATATGTATAATATACCATCACCTAATGTTATTGAATGTCGTAATAATGTATTAGTTATGGAATATCTTGGTAGTGATGCTACTCATTCATATCCAAGATTAAAAGATATATCTAATAGTATGGTCATGGATATCTATATACAGGTTATTACAATAATGAGAGTTATGTTCAATAAATGTCATCTAGTTCATGGTGACTTATCTGAGTTTAACTTATTATTATCTCCTCAAGGTGTGGTATATGTTATTGATGTATCACAATCTGTTGAACATGATCATTATCAAGCATTAGATTTCCTTAAAAGGGATATAGTCAACATAACACGTTTCTTTCGTAAGACTATGATTAACGAACATCATCATGATCATCATGATGATCAACATCAACATCAACTACATCTTCTACATGTAAATACTCTCTTTGACTTCATTATTACTCCTGATGTTCCTTCTATTCATGATATATTATTGGGATCTGAAGATGAATTACTGCTAGAACTATTACCAGATACAGCTAGAACACATCTTACTCCTTCTGAACAGCGATGGTTACTTGCATTATTATCAACTAATAGTAGTAGTAATGATGAAGATGATGATGAAGAGAGGTTATTCCTTGATACTTGGATACCATCTACTCTAAATCAATTTAGTGATCTAATGGAGATGGAAGAGGAATTAAGTAAACATGCTAAAGGTGAGAGGAGTGTATATAATCGTCTATT